ATTTCAGGATCTAATAAGGAACTGGCTTTGTGTTGTCACTACATTATAAATCCCCGGTATTTCAGAGTAAGGCCACCAATTCTCAAATAAAATAATTGTTAAACCTGCTGTGATCCTAGGGCCTTCCCAGAGACTTAGATGAGAATATTAAATTTTCACTGCCAAGAACCATCCATGAAAGCATTCTGGATGTTAACATCAAGTCAGAGGGTTCCTGAGAATTAAATAGAGATATTCTGATGTGAATGAGCAACTGGGATATAAAAACACCTTTAAGAATGTACAAAGAAAAAGATGATTGCCAGGTCTTACTGCTGTGACAATTCAGGATACACTAGAAGCTGAACCACTTCAAATCTAAACTAAACAACCATACTACAGGAAATAGATTTGAGAATTACTGTCTCTCCAGCAGCAATGTAAAGCCTACTTAATCTCCTCTCTGTTTTTATGTATAGGAATATATAGGAGGAAGCCTGGCGAGAAATGTACAAAATCTACAATTTTTCCTATGGGAATCAACAAACAAACCTAATGATCTTATCAGAGCTTTCTCCATTGCTATTTAAAGGTGGATAGAAGACGTCTCTCAAAAAGGAGGTGTCTCAAGGGAACTGGCATACAAAGTTTTCTGTGGCTTCATTTGCAAACTCTACCAGTTTGGACATGTTCCTGGGAACTATTCCCTGGTGAAATCCATGGAACTTTATTCTGAAGAGACTTCAGAGGCAGCCAACAGAAACTTGAATGTGCTTTATGCTTTACAGGTAAGCATGATGTTTGGGGTCACTGGGACAAAATATTTGTTACCAGGAAATCTATGGGTATGCACAGGCATTCTCAAGGTGTGGGGAGGGGCAGGTGGGATCACAAGGAGTAGTGGGTCCACAAAGGGATTGGCTGTTCCAGGGGGGAGGGTTGGCAGGATCAGGTGGAAGAGCTGGCAGATCTGCACAGGAGGCTAGTAGGTCTGTCTGGGTGGGGTGGGTGGGGAAGAGTGGGGGAAGGGGGCTAAAAATAGCTCAGTCAGAGTCCTGGGGTAGAAAGAATGCTGTCCCAGGGCTGCACTCCAAATGTGTGCAGACATTTGCTGGATCAGGTTAACTAATTCCCAATCTGAGTTAGTTCACCTACTTAGGTGAACTAACTTGGATTGGGCCCACCATTCTTGGCCCAATTTAAACCCCCAAATATCTGCATAGATGGGCATTTAAATGTGACGTCTGCACATACCCTATATTATCTTTCTAAACTATCTTATCTCCTAAATGGGCTGGCTATAAAGCCTGAATTCTGCTTTCCAAAAAAGTTTCCTGTTTATTCAATTGCTGGTAGGCAAAAGGTAAGCAACAATTCATCAAGCCCAAAGAATCATTAAGAAAAGCTGACTTTCAGTCATGTTTATTCAGGATTCCTCCATAATTTTCTCAATGTCCTTGTGGATGGGGAGGTAGGCTTACAGCAGGGGGAATTGTATGGTCTTTTGGCCATTGAGTCTGGGACCAGGAACTTCTAAAGGACACCTTGTAGGGGGAGAGCTAATGCCATGCAATTATCGCCTTGATCCTCCCAAACATACAGGAGTTTAGGGGAAGAGAAGAACAAGGATTCCTATGTCCTTGAAAGCTGAATTTAAAACAATGGCGGAGGGATTTACCTGGGAGTAAAAGTTTTCAGTTTATACCTCAGGCCCACTTTTGTTAACCTCTTCTCAGGTCTCTGTCTTAATCCTGGTTCATCTCATGGAAGTCAAGGTGATTATCTAATATCTTTCCAGGGAGGGTGACCTGAATGAAATTTCCTCTAAAGAGACATATATGATGGATGCACAGAAGACCAAAAGAACAAAAGAGGTTACCCACAGATGGAACCGTACCCCAGCTGCAAGCCCACCAATGTGCATCTCCAAAGGCACAACTATAGCTTGGCTGTCTCTATAATGGAGCTAAATTACTCTCAACAAGTTGTCTAAATTAGGAAAACAAAATTTTAGAAATATGTTAATTTATAGACTGTTAAACACTACTTAGCCCTTAGTGTAGACAAGGAAAAATTTTGTTTAAAAATTTGCTCTCTAACCATGATTGTAGGCATCCCTAAAGTTAAATCACAACTGCTGAACACACTAGCAATCTGATTTGCTCCATCTATATTAACTGTTATGTTCAACAGATTGTTAATTAATAGTTAACACACTTTGCAATATAATGAATTTTCCAGATATGGATATGGTCTCAGTTCAGGAAACATCAAGAGAAAAGCACTGAAATGTGGACTTCAGCAAAGGATGAGAGGTAGGTGGGAAAAGTCTAGGAATATAGGTCGCAGACAGAAGTGCAGTTCTCCACTGTAACTCAGAACAATTTGCAGGAAGTGTTCTGAGTTACAACAATCCCCAGGAAAAAACAGAAGTTCACTGCTGGTTCCAGGGGGAAGGGGTATCTAGCTGCTGGCTGGGAGACTGCAGCTGGTTTCTCCCAACAATTGCCCCTCCTCCATGAGTGCCTGTTCAGTTTTCAGAATGGGAGGGGGAAAGGTTGCAAAGGGAACTCATTCTAAGCGTTCCTCAGTCAGCGCTGGAGGGTGGGGTGGATGAACTGGAGGCCCTTCACCCTGGGGGGCTCCAATACACCCTTCCCACACTCCAGCAGGGGCTGGAAATTCCCCAGACCAAACTCCCTCCACTCCCTTTCCCCCCTATTCTGAAAACGATAACACGCTGGCAGGGAGAAGTTACAGAAAATGCTCTGTTTTGAAATGACTTCATCTGACCCCTCATGCAATGAGGGTTCAGATTTTCACCCAATCAACCATATTTGAAGCTATCTGAAGCCATGTGCATGTGTTTGGTAACAGCTATAAAACACTTTCTGCGGCCAGATTGGGTGAAAATTGCCACTTCTGTCTGCGCCCATAGAGGACTGAATTAACAATCCAGACACCAAGAAGTGTATTGCATTCCCAAATAGTGCTACCTCTTACAGAAAAAAGAGTTAAAGGATTTCATATTCCATTTACATAATATCCCTAGCTGCTTCTGTGTGACCATAAGGCATGTAGTGCGTAGAATATTCTTCTTATTATTTTATTATTTTTCAAAAAGAGTTGGGTTTTTAAATATTTATTCTTTATCTTAGGATGTATCTACACCACAGTCATTAGTACTGACAATAGTACAATTAAGTAATGTAATAGCAGCTGGTAGCAATCTAGCAGTGGCAGCGGCATGGTCTCAGTGCAGGCTGCAAAACCCATTTGAGACACTGAGTAAATTAGCCTGCACTAAACTCCATGTTGTCATTGCCATATTGGTTCTGGCTTTGAAACTAACAAGTTTAAAAGTAGTTTGGGTAAGTCTACACTGATGTCATGCCAACACAGGCATACCCTTTGAAATATTAAAATATATGAAGTGTGGTCTTTGATTTTACCGATGGACCATCCTGGAGATCTCAGCAATAATTAGTCTTCAGTCTTGCATCTAAATAAAATAATTACTTTTGTCTAAAATATAATTTGAAGCATTTAAATATATCTTACCAAAAACAGGCTAACTGCTGAAATAGTCTTCTGCTCTGAAGTGCTCTGCTTTCCCTTACTCTTGTAATGTTGCTATTTCACCATCATTTCACCAAAGAGTTTTCCATAATGAATTATGCCTCATTTACTAAAATATCATATTTACTTGCATACCATATATATCTTTCCTCCAAAAATCAGCCCTCCAAAATTGGGATGCTAGTCTTATGTGGGAAGTGGTTTCTTCTTCATTGGAATGAAGTGTCTACGCATGGAATTAATGCAAAGCAATAAACTCCATTGCTTATTGCTCTGTAGTTTATTGCTTCTGGGCACACTGTTTGAACATGCGCCCAGGACCACAGCACCATTGAGCCAAGTGAAAGCAGCCCCACCTGACAGGAGGCCCTGGGAGTCCGCCTGCCAGTCTGGGGCTGCTCCCCTGGCTCAACTTGCTACAGAAGGGCTGGCTGGGGCACGAGGGTGCTCCAGTGCAGGGCTAGCCAGCAAGTTGCCCTTGCACTGGAGAACCCTCATGCCCTAACCAGCAGGGCAGTGTCCACACATGCACTGTTGTGAAGTAAAAAACTCCACAGTGAGATAGTACTTGTATTTTATAAGTACAACCCTTCTGTGGAGCTAGTTTAATCCAGCCTAATAGGGGCACGTGTGTAGATGTGCAACAAATACTGTGGAGCTAATTAGTCTACTCCACAATAAACATCTTGTGTAGATGCGCTCACTGTATTTTACAGACTGCCAAAAGGGTTCCAGATTCTCTCTAGCTCAGCAACTAAAAAGAGCAGAGTCCAACATTAACCATCTCACAGCTGCCCTAGCAGAAATCACAGTAATTATTGGCTGAGTACTGTATCTTGTGCCTGAAGAAAAAATTGAACTGGCTCAAGGCAAGTGAGTTGCTGCATTCAGCCTGTAGTATCTTGATGAGGCTTGTGGCGTAGAAGCAACACTTCTTTATTTATAGGAACTTATATAAAGAATTATTTCCAGTAAAGAAATAACACTCTTTCTACTGCCCTTGCAAGAGTCTGGGCTCTAGCCTTGTTGTTGTCCTGCCATACCAGGATGTTCCAGTTGCCCCACCCAGACTGTCTCCTGGAATCTCACACTTCCTGGACACTCTTGTGTTTCCAGAAGGACTTACTCTATGTCACATGCATGCATCCATCCATCCTTCTAGTTGTTATTGTTTGTTTTTGCCGGGGGTTATTTGGGGCCACATGTTCTAAAACATTATTTTTATACATCAAAAAGAAGCATAAAATGACTTATCGTTCTTTCCCTTTGCAGGATGCAAGTAAAGTCAAATGTGTTAAAAAAACATTCTTTGGCTTAATTAGAAAAATACATATTTAGGGTCAATTTATTTTATAGAACAGCACTATTAAATTTCATCATCGTAAATTATAAATAAGAAAGCGCTTTATGAAACACAGAAGAATGCATGTAGGAATTCATACCTGAAACTACACCAATTCCATCATCACAGTCATAGTCAGAAACTTCACTGTCACTTATTCTTTTGGACCCTGTCAAAACAAATAATAGTCACAAACGCATCATTATTATTACTGCAGGCTGAAACTGCTCCCTCCTAGGCAATAATAGATTAAGAAATAAGATGCCACAACTAGGCATAGCTATATATATGCCTAGTGTGACTATGTATATATATATACACACATACACACACACATGCAAGGGAAACTAATTACAGGAGTATTGGGACAGAATTGTATATATATTATAGCAAAGGTTATTACTTGGTGTTGCATTAACTATTTTATAACTGTAAGGTAATAGTTCAGGAAAGAAATAATGAAATATAGCTTTTAAATCACGGACATTATGCTATATTTGAATATGTTTTTGTGCCTATTTGCAATATGTCTAAACATATACATATAAACACTCAGAAGATTAATTATAGCTATTATATTCAACTAACACTATGCTTTCTAAGGGGCACTGATAATCATTATTATGCCCCATAAGTTTCATATTAATATTATACATCATGCAAGACAAATTATAGGTATAAAGGCTCAAGGGAAAAGGTATTTTAGTGCTGTTGCAGCAAGCACAGCGTTTCTTAATATGGTTAGATCTTAGCTGGCAAAAGCAGGCTGTAAGTCCATAATGAGATCTAAAATTTATATCAGGTAGGACAAACAAACATGTTAGGTTCTGTTTAGCTTAATTTTACTTATCACTTTCTTCCCTGGTACCTTCTAAGCAGCAGGAATGGAGCATATGCTGCTCTACATGTTTTATTACTGATGACAAAATGTTAGAATCTGAACAGTAGCTTGTGGGTTATACTATACACAAAAATATGTACTTTGTGAAAAACAGGACAAGGAAACTTTAGTTGTTGAATATTCCATAACAAGATATGCAATGCAAATACATTAACAAACAATAGGTCACAACTGTGTTCTGCACTTTTGCAAGCAGCTGATAATATGTCACTAGCTGTCAGATTTAACTTAAATTTCCAGGCCTTGAATTGTTTACAAGGTTTTGAATATATAGGAAAGGGATGACTTATCCTTCTGAAAGACATTGATAATACCAGTTTTGTTCAGTATAGTAAAGACTCGGGGACTCTGAAAAGAATCATAATTAACACTTTGTTCCATTGACAGGGAATAATGATAGTTCAATGTCTCCTGGCAGGAATGTTAACCCTGTCCTCCAAACTTGCAGACAACCTTTTTGTACAAGAAGTAGGCAGTATTGCAGGATTTCAGGATCCCAAACTGGACAAGCATACTTTCTGAGTATAGTATACCACTGTACAGGGGGAAGGGGATTTTGGAGGGTAATGCAGGTGGATTTGTGATGATAGCAGTGTGCTGAGTCATTGTACAACTCAACTCCCCTATCTATAATTCAATCCTCAACAATACATTTAGAGTAAGGTTTATTTTTTTCAAATAATTAAGACAGTTTTCAGCCAAAAAAAACCTGTTAGGAAATATTTGAATCAAATAATAACGAATGAATGAGTTTTCTCTTTGGACAGGAGATTACAGACAGATATGAGAGCAGTTTTCAAATATTTGAAAGCATGCCTTAAAAAGATGAAGAAACATTACTCTCCTTTACTACAGACGACAGGATGTACAGAAGTACATTTAAACAGCAGCGATGCACATTTAGACAAACTCTTACAAAAAATCTTTCTAATTGTAAAATCAGTAGGAGAATTGAACAAAGTGTTTGTAGAAGTTGCATAATCTGCTTCATTGCAGGATTTAATAAGGAGTAGACAAATATATATGTTGGTTGCTTTAGGAAATGTATATCCTGTATTTGGGCAGGGGCTGAAATAGATGGCCCTGGAGTTCCCTTCCAATTCTATCAATTACTAAGTTGAAAGCTGCTTAACATGAAAAGGTACTTGCAAAGGGATTTTTTGTTCTTTAAATATTGGCATATTCACCATGGTTTATTACTTGGTGCTATATGTACAATGTAGGATTTTTTTAAGCATACTTAATTGTCTGAAAATTAATACTTTAAGAAAAGCCATAGCTAGTCTGCTGAGATGTTAGAATCTAAGACAGTGTATAATTAATTAAACTTTGAAATTAATATTTCAAATAAATTATTTGAAATAGCTGTGAACTGTAATTTGTTGCCTTTCTTTTGAAGTTCCATGGATCAGATTAAGGCAAGGAGAAACAACAAGCAGATTATTAAAAATTTACCACTAGGGAAGGCCTAGTGATGAGACCATGAATAAAAAGAAGACTTCTGCTCCTTAAAGACATGCTGAGAATAAAGGTAATTAAAGTAATAAAGTCAGACTTGGATCAGATAATTTCCTTAATTGTAATGGCATTTAAGGAAAGGCATCTGAGGCCCTCAATGAAACTTTGTCCTGCCCCACAGGGTAAGGTGATCAGTCATACCCATAATATTGTCCCTGATGCTTTAGACCAGTAGAGAACCTTCTACTGGGTCAGACATATTCATGGCAGAACATGAAAGAGACAGGAGACAGCTATAAGCACACAATCCAGCCTTACCCAAACAATATTTAGGATAATCAGTCAAGTATGTCTCTAGAAGACCAACTTTGTCCTGAAGATGGAGATGTCAGGGGGCAGAAAAGAATGACAATACAGGGCCCCAAAATGTTGTGTACTTGCCCCTGGTATCTTACAAATCCTAACCTGAACTTGGTCTGATTTCATAGACATTAGGGCTGGAAGGTACCTCATAAGATTTCTGATACTGTGGAGCAGTGGTTCTCAACCTTTTGGCTAGGGGCAGACATTACACATAAACTGGTTTAAGTGATCAGAAGCTGCTTTAAACCTGTAACAGAACAGATGTTCAGCCATGTAAAGCAGTTTGAAAATGGTTGAAACTGGTTTGAGATAAACCTGGTTGAACATAGTATCAACTTAACTGATTTGGGTCAAACCAATTTATGCAATGTTTATCCCAGACCCTTTGCTGTTTTAAGCTAAACCAGACACCCCTAGCATCCCAGCATGCTCTCTGGGCTGGGTGGGGCTCTCTGCTCCACAGCAGGGCTGGTCCCTCCCCTCTGCTCCCTGGCCAGAGCTCCAGTAAAGACTTTCAGGCACAGCAGGGTCTGCTGGCGTCCCCATGCCTCCTTCCTTCCTCTCATCTACAGCACGGACTGTAGCCAGCATGTGGTATGCTAGCTAATGCTGTGTAACGCAGATAGGACAGTATCATCTTAGGGCTTTTTGGAGGTAATCAACAGCTCAGATGGTAATGTCCCTGCATCCATTTTTTTGGAAAAAACCTGTTTAAGAAGAGCTTGCAATGAGCGAGACTTGGTTTTCTGATGGGGTGTTAAATGCTGATAACAGAGCTATGCCTGTACTGTATTGCCGGTCTTTCTCATGGTTCTAGGCTTTGCTGATTACCGTATGGGGCCGGGAAGGAGATTTTTTTCTCTTCCTGCTCCTACATGTGTCATGGTGATGTGAAAGCTTCCTCAGAAGCATTGGGTGTTGGCCACAGCTAAGGCAGGGGATTTTAACTGCTGTGTGCCAGTGCTCCTGCTGGCACCTAAACACAGAGGTTCTTGGCTAGAGGGTCTTGCCCCTCCACTTAGGGTCAGACCAATCATCAAAATTGGGGTCAGGAAGAAATTTTACCCTATGGCCAGATTGGCCAAGACTGGGGGGAAGGGAGTTGCCTTCCTCTGTAGCTTGGCTTGTAGCTCACTTCTGTGTAGCTAAAGATAGTGGAAAGAGGTTGTAGTGGAGGCTACAGCTGGACCATCACAGTTACAAGATCCCTCCAATGCCACCACCACATGGAGAAAATCAAAATCTGGCATATCTGGTGATTTTCTGATGTTTGTGTATGACATGAGGACAAAAAGGGAATTTCTCTGACATCTACTACAATTCTAGTGCAGTAATATCTGCATACTAAACCCATTTCTTGACAAATGCATGGGTGCATCCCAGACAGGATTGTCTTACCTACTATAAATGGAAAACCGCCTTTGTTTTGAGGCAATTAATTTTACCTTTGAAAGATTTAAATGTAAGAAACAGCACTAATCAGGATCCAGCATGAAGATACTAGAATACAACTTGCTAACAACAAAACATTCCACTCTAGGGCAAATGCTGTCATTCAGTATGATAACTGTGGTACCAGATGACAAATTATGACTCCTGAATGTCTTGTGCTATAACTTCCACTGGCATTAATGATTATTGCATTTATGTGTTGACAGCAAAATAAAGCCCATCACAAACCATTAGCCAGTACAGACTTCAAAAACTCCCTCATGGCATTACTAGCCTAGCCCAAAGCATAGTAAAGTCAGTGGCAATAAGCTTATTGACTTTAATGATCTGTGGACCATCTAATAGTGATTAGTTACTAAAATATCACAATACACCTTTGAAAATAAGTGTTGAATAGAAAAGTGGCTTGGTAAATATGGTCTTTTATTTCTGTAAATGTTAGATATGGTTAATAAGTTTATACCAATCTTTCTCTATTTTATAGCTTAATATGCAAACAATATATCTGAAGAAAAAGCAAGCTACTTTATTTGGCCTTGGGCATCAAATACAGATGAGTTTCTTCTCTGGTCAGTTATGTCAGAATGTGCTGACCAGGGTCATGTTAAGACAAACCGTTTCTGGTTTGCATCTGAATGAATGTGATATGGAAATCATTAAGGAAAAATAAATGCATCATATCTAGACATCAGTTTTAGATGGTCACATTTCTGGCCATCATTAAGTTTTAAAAACTATGTTTTTTTCAAAACTTGAATCAATCTTTCTTTCTCCATAAATATATTTATATAAGACAATTTCTGGGTTTCACAGCATTCTGAAAGATCTCAATTTACACTGCATATTAGGCAAAAAAAAATTGACAGTTACTCAGAGAGAGATCTCTTCATAGTTCTACCATTAATAAATGAGGGAGGCAATTCTTTCACAGAAGTATATCATAGGGTTTTAAATGCTGTCCATTGTCAGATATGGAAATAAGCTTCAACAAATAAAGGGTATCATATCGAAGTTTAAATCTGAGGAAAACTCTAGGCAAAAACCCCCATAGTCAATCCCTAGACAATATAACTATAGAAAAAGAATGAGATAATAAGGAACAGAAATTAAGAATTTATATAAACCTAATTTATATATGCCCAAATGCCAATGCATTGGTTATAAGAGGTCAGATTCCACGGCCCATGTCTTCTCTTTGTGTCACTGAACACAAAAAAGTAATAGCAAATGGATCTCCCCTACTGGGGACTTTGCCAGCACAGGGAGTCCCTAGTGGGAACATACATAGCTTGCACAGTCTGTTTTCAAACTGCCTACCCCATCTCTCCTCTCCTAGCCCTGGAAGTAAAGTTGAATGTACAGAGAGGAGAGGAATAGGGGGAATGCTATGCTATGGCAATCAAACTGGCAGGTAGCTTTTGGAGGGTATAGTCCAAAAAATAGCTTCAGACCCTAAAGTCTCATTTTTGCAAAGAAGATGGACACAAATACTAGAATTAGGCAGTCACAACTGGCTGCTTTGTGTACCTCCCCCCTCATTGTACAATAGTATATTTGGCCATAGTACTAGCTGTGACCTGGGAAAAGTCCCACATGAAAAGTTATGATCATCTCTCCCTTTCTCAGAAACAGCAACATGATTTGAAATTGAAGAGCCATAACACAGCTATATAAAAATGAATATTTAAACCATTCAATATTTAAACCATACTTGAACTAATATTAATAGTATTTTACTTACCATATTTCCATTTTGTTAAACTATTTCAGAGAGTATACAAAACAGCTGCAATATAGCTGTCTTCAGTTCTAACGTAGCTCTGACCAAAATATTTAACATTACCCTGCGTAGTTACTAAAGCATATTACAGCTTAACTACCAAAGCTTCACCTCAAATACAGACAGACAAAACAAATGTAGTACTTTGGAAATGGTTTGAATTTTAGCAAGGAGCTCTTAATACTAAGATGCTACAAATGTAGAAACAAAGCCAATGCAAAGGGCTACAACCGAAAAACAGACAAGGAAGCCAGGGAACTCTAGCAAATTAACATATGCACAATATATAGCATAAGCATATCAAGATAATGTCAAATTAAACTGTGCATATGTCTGCAAGCAATAGGTACTTCAGGCATGCTAAAAATTACCTGAATTATATGAATAAAAGCCTTTATCTGGAAAACAAATATTAAAATGAAGTGATGTCAGGAAAAAATATGTAAAAGCTAGACATGTAACAGGGGTGTTTAGAATTTGTGAACAAGAGATTGCTTTTGTCAAAGTGAAGAAGCAAATAATGCTAACCATATTAATGCTTAAAGATTTCCAGATAAGTATATTTTAAAGAAAATTAAAACAGAAAATTGAAAACCCTACTAATTTAGTGGAAATTAAACCATAAAATGTTACTTTGGTTGCCAACTGAAAGTCAGCTTTAATATTTGGTGGCATAGATATTCCAGAGATATGCAAGGTAGTTCCTATTCTGAAATACATTTGTGGAGTCACTGTAGATAAATGTGTGACTTTTAATAGCAACCATCAAAGTGTTGAACTAATATATAGTGGGATACACATTAACACAAAATTACTATCTTTTAATAGCTGTATAGTACTTTTTGTTGAAGGGGTCATTAATAGAATGTTATTAGCAATACTCAAGTACAGGCTGTCATGGGATGATATTCATAAATTGTGCTCTAATTTCAGTGGGAAAATGATGCCTGTGAAACTTCTGGATTTAGTAACTCATTAGCCCTAATTCTGGGAGCATTTTTATCTGTGAATAACTCTATGTATCAGTATTCCCATTAAGTTTAAGACTCCTGATGTATGTGAAGTTATTTATGTGGGTAAGCACTTCCAGGAATTTGATTGCTGTTTGTATGCCTCCAACACTTTCCCATGTAACAGCTGAGTATACCAAAGCATTAATTTAATCTAGCTAGGGTTGGGGTTTTTTTTATTAAATTAATTTGTGAACCTGAACTAGTTTTCAAAATTTCAATAATGTTGAAAAAAATTACGTATGTCAAAATGTCTGCTGTCTGAACACTTGTGGAAAAAACAGAAAGTCACTTCTATATTTTCATATTTTGTAAAAATAGCCTGAAAGGTGCTGATATCGTTGTCTGCATAAGGATTGGGAACCAGGATACTTCAGTTATGTTCTGCCTTTGACAAGCTGTCATATTTTGTCTATGAATAGCAGCTTTAAAATACTAGTTGGGCCTCACAGCACTGCAATTAAATTGTTTAATATAACTGTCCCCATTTGAGACCTCAGGAACTGAAATTCAGTGAGGCACTGATTTGCCCAGATGTCAGTGTTATTGTCAGATCAGAACTCAAAACTCCTTACAATAGTCCACTATATCACTATGCAGCATAAGGCAATTTACCCTCTGTTGGTCTTGATTTTATAGTATGATGCTCTTTACCTACCTACCACTGGCATTTTTTTCATTCTGCATATTAGTATACTTTGGTTTTAGTAAAAATAGTTAATTACTGGGTACTCAACTCAATCCATTGGAGCACATGATCCACAGTTGCCATGGCCAGGAATTCTTATAGATTCTTATAAATTCCATGTGTGTCAACTTTAACTTCCCTAAGGGTACATGCAGACATTTGGGGAGCTAGGGGGAGATTAGACTGAATTACAAATGGCCACTTGATCTATGGTAAATTGAGACGGGGTGGCTAATAGGGGGGCTTAGCCAGATTGGGGGGCTAGTGGCACTACAAGAGCAGTTGAAGGAATTGGGAAGGCAAGTGGGGTCTGCAGAGGGGCTTGAGAGGATCAGGAAGGGGTTGACAGGATCAGAGAGGCTCTTGAATCCTGCCAACCCCCACGGGACCACCCAACTCCTGCCCAATGCTGCCAAACTGTCCCTGATCCCACAAACTGCTCCCAGAGACAGCTTTACCAGTGTTCACCAGTTCCTGGAGCCCAACTGAAGTCAGTTGGGGTGAGGGAAGGGGTTCGTGGATTGGGGGGCTGGCCACTGCATTGCGGGGGTTGGCAGGTTAGGGAAGCTCTGGTACCAGAGGCTATTTTTAGATCCCCAACCCTACCCCACACCCACATGAACAATCCCCCAGCAAACTAATCCCCCACATCTTGTTCCCCTCCCCCCACCCTGACTTACTTCCTTGGCTCCTGGCATTGGTGAATGCTGCAAAAATTGGCACAAGTAGTGGCTTGTAGAATGGAGGATCTGGCAGGCATGGGAGGGGGAGCTGGCTGGTTTATGGGGGGGAGTTGTCCATCTGGGGATGGGGCAAGGGGCCAGGGCGCTAAAAATAACCCAGTACTGGGGAGATAGGAAAAGTTCAGGCCAGCCACTGGGGGCTCTCAGCCCTGGGGCTATGCCAGGCACTGTACAGAATTTCCATTAGACCAGTCTCACTGGACCCCATCTAAGTCAGACTACCTCTGAGGTACAGTTAACTTAGACCAGGTTGGTCATTTTAAGGCCAATCTAACCTTCCTGTACTTCTGTACTGTTTCTATTCAGATCAACCAAATTAGAGGTACAGACAGACATGACAATTTTCACCCAATCTGGCCACAGAAATAAGTCTATAGATGTGACCAAACACAAGTACATGGCTGCAGACAGCTTCAAAAATGGCCAGTTGGGTGAAAATCTGGCCCCTTCTTGAATGAGGTATCAGATAAAGATGCTTCAAAATGGAGCATCTTTTGTGACTGGTGTCTGTGTAGCTCCCAGCCTGTGGCTGTTTCCAGAACGGGAGGAGGGAAAGAGAGTGGAGGGAGTTCAGTCTGAAGGTTTTTCAGTCGCTCCCCCCAGAGGGTGAGGCAGGTGTACTGAAGGCATCCCCCCCCACTGAGGCTGTGGGGGGCCCGATTCATCCACCCCAGCCTTCAGCACTGGGGGGAGCCCCAAGACCTAGCTCCGGCCACTGCCTTTCCCCCCTCCCATTCTGAAAACAGCAAGCACTGGCAGAGAGCTGTGGCTGTTGCTATGGGAACCTGGCTGTAGGCTCCCAGCCCCAGCTACTTCCCCCTCTCTCCTGGAACCACCAGTGAACTTCGGTTTGGTCTGGGGTAAAGTGGCAACTCAGAACACTTTCGGAGTTACAGCTGGGAGCTGCACTTCTATCTGCACCCTAGGGATCTAAGTGTAAGGTCTGTACCTGGGGAACTAAATAAGTTTGGGTGGTCATGTTTAACATGAGTAAACCTCTGTACCTAGCCTAATTTGTGTGCTGCTCAGTGGAAATAGCTTTCAGTACTAACATTTCACGATAACTGTCAGATTTGCAAAATATGAAAAATAAACTGGAAAAAGCTTTCCAAATAACCCCAGCTCTAACCCAGATATTTTTGGTAACTTTTTTAAAGGCCATGTAATTTTCTAGCTATATGGTGTACAGAAGAGAAACTTTAGCATCTACATTGATTAAATGTATGAAAAAACTAATTTTTCTGTTTCTATTTTTCCCATCTGAAACAAATCAAAATTAAATTATTGTGAAAGCAATGCAGTAACTTGATTATATTCACTAGTCAGCTCCACAGAATGATAAATAAAAGCCACATTTATGTTCACTTCTTTCAAAACTTTTCAAAAGGCCTGAAATATTTTTGTGGTTTAATTTTAATATTTCAAAACAGGAAAAAAATCATTGCTAAACATTTTTCTCATATGAAAAGATTTGGATGATTTAAGGCATTTTCAGACACCCCTGTATCATGTCAAATACCTTTTTGTTAAAGTATTTTGTTAAAGGATCCATGTACAATAAAAGTATAATTCTGATATTGATATACATATCCCATGACCAAAACATTCATACATGCAAACCAAGTTAACATGCCCAAGGATTGTGTTCCATAAAAAAAAGAGAAATATTATGCAAAAAGCATGAAAGACAAAAAAATGTTTTTCTTATTCATTAGTTAACTCTTGCTTCTAGAAAATCCACTTTGGGTCTGTGCTTCTTTATATAAAATGCTCCATATTATAATATTTTAAAAGTGGTTCAGTGCTTTAGCCAGGGCAAGAGATTTTTGTGATATCTTTTATTGGACGCAGTGTATCACTGTGAGAGATGCTGCATAAGCTTTTAGGCATAAAGTGGCCTTCATCAGGTCTAAGAAAAAAGCAGACACAGGCGAAACTAAATGCCATATTTACTCACACACCACATGTACCTTTCCTCAAAAATTAGCCATCCCAAACTTGGATGAATGTCTTAAGTAGCAAAGCTGATTTTCTGCCCAAAATAGAAGCACTCTGTTTTGATTTCTGTTCCATCCAAAATTTAAAATTAACAGCCCAGAAGCAGCAGTGGTATTTGTGCTCAGGAAGCTGAGGGAGTCGACTGATTTAATGGCTCAGTGATTTCTACTTCAGGTGTGTCATCAACCATCACTTCTTTTTAATGGTCTAGATGTTCCATGAATCAAACTAACCTTTCGTTCAGCAATTTTGTGGTCTGGTAGCTACTCCTGGTTTCTTGTCTCCCATTTCATAGCCATACAGACTTTTTTTAGGTCTTTTCAAATTTGCAGATCTGCCTGTGCAGACCAGTTTTCAGCAGCAGCTACATTTCAGCTTCTGGCGGAGCAGGAAAGGGAGGGTGAATCAGTTGACTCAGTCCCTACTCTATGCCTTTTGCTTTCCCAAAAACAAGGAGCATGTCTTATGTAGGGAGGTGAAGTATGAAAAGAAAGTTTCTTATGTTTTCTTAAACTCCTCCTTGTCATTCAGATTAAGCAGGTCAGATTTTGAAAAAGTATATTCCATATTCAGATGTCTTTTATAACATTTGGCAGTATTCAATCCTTGTCCCCTTGATCTGAAACACTTACGACTATGATTCCTTGCTGGGGTTTTAATTTGTATAACATTTTGGAATCATATAGCTTGGTAACTCACGTCAAGCACAGCAATTCTAAGGATGTACAATATGAAATTCTCCATCAAGGAAATCTAATTGATAATTTAATTTTTCCAAGGCATTTTGAAGACCCTAATTTGAAGTTTTAAATACTGAAAACTCTTTTGGCAGTTGTATTCATTTTCAACTGTTTTGGGGGATGACAGTTTAGTCCACTTTCTGGACTTCAAGGAGTTGATTTCCAAACATTGCTATTTCTGAAAACTTCTAAATATTTCTTCAAAGGTGAGTTTATCTG